CACTGAGTCATCTCCTCAGCCTCCGTCTCTTGCTTTTATTTTGTTTTTGTTATTTTTTTAGTCTTTTTGAGTAGCCCCACCTGGCCTAGAACTCACTATGTAGACCAGGTTGGCCTGGAACTCACAGAGATCTGCCTGCCTCTGCCTCCGGAGTGCTGGGGTTAAAGTCATGCATATCACGCCTGGCCTGCTTTTTTTTTTTTCTTCTCTTTTTCATTTTCTGTGTTGAAGCAGGGTCTTCCTAAGTTACCTAGGCTGGCCTGGAACCTTTTACCCTCCTGCCTTAGCCACCTAAATATAAGTAAAAGTGATTATAGGCCTGTGCTAACAGGCCCAGCCCTTACTGTTGTTATTCTTGACTGATGAATAGTAAGAGAAAGACTGTCTCTTTTCCAAGGGAATTAATTTTTTTCTCTCTCTCCTGTAACATTTATTTATTAGGAAAGGTGGGGTGTGCTACCAAGCAGGTGGAGGTCAGAGGATAACTTGAAGTTGTTTTTCCTTCTATGATATGGGTTCCAGGGATCGAACTTAGATCTTCAGATTTGGCACAAAGCAACACTCTTACCTGCTGAGACATCTTTCAAGACGACTGTGGTAGTTCTGTTATTCCCATAAATCTCTAAAAAGATAGTTATTGTAATGCCTAAAGTATTTGACTATGGCCATTTAGGATACTATTCCAGGAATGAATATCAATACAATTAGAAATGGGGCAAGAGGAAATTCCAATTTCCAAATATTTCAAAAAGTTCTTGTTTTCAAAGCCCAGTTTTCATCAGGCTCTTTTGTCAGTGTTTTTATGGCCCCTAAAATTATTGAAAAGTGGAGTGTCTGGTTTTGACAGATGGGTAACGTGGCAGGCTTCAGCCATCTTGATTTTATCATCTTAATTTGCTATGTGAGCAAGGTCTCAGCTTTAGAAACTGCATCCTTGAAATCACATACATACATTCTTAATGGTTTTCATGCTTGGGAACAAAATTTTAAAATGAAAACAAGGAGGCTGGAGAGATGGCTTAGCGGTTAAGATCACTGGCTGTTCTTGCAGAAGACCTGGGTTCAAATCCCAGCACCACCTGGCAGCTAACAACTGTCCATAACCCCATTTTCAGGGGATCCAACAGCTCTTCTGTCCTCCATGGGCATTACATGACACAGATGCACTTACCTACATTTGGGCAATACACGCATAAACATAAAATAAAAAAATAATAAATAAAATATTTTAAAAAATAAATAAAATGAAAGAAGGAACTGGAGAGATGGCTCAGCAGTTAAGAGCGCTTGTTTCTAGAGACCCTGTTTCGGTTCCCAGTACCCATATCACAGCTAACAACTCTCCGTAATACCAGTTCCAGGGAATCCAATACCCTCTTCTGACCTCTTCAGGCGTTGCATATATATGGTGCACCTACATACATGAAGGCAAAACACTCATAAAAAAAAATAACGATAAATTGATTTTTTGTTTGTTTGTTTCTTTTTGAGACAGGGTCTCCCTGTAGCCCCAACTGGCCTGGATTTGCTATGTACACCAGGCTGGCCTTGAACTCACAGAGATCCACCAGCCTCTGCCTCCCGAGTGCTGGGATTAAAGGCGTGCGCCACCATGCCCAGCTAAAATTTTTTTAAATTAAAGCATGATACAAAATAAATTGCCTTCTAATGGAATTTTAAAGTCAGCATACTATGTTTGCTTCATATATATTTTATGTATGTTTTACTATAAAACTTTTTTTGTTGAGCTTTTGTAATTTGTGTGGTTTTGTTTTTGGTTTTGTCTTTTGTCTTTTTGAGACAGGGTCTCCCTGTAGCCCCAGCTGGCCTGGAACTCACTATGTAGACCAGGCTGGCCTGGATCTCGTAGAGGTCCGCCTGCCTCTGCCTCCCGAGTGCTGGTACTAAAGACGTTCACCACCACACTTGGGCGAGCTTTTGTAATTTTATACAACAGTTCCTAATCAAATTTAGTCCCCATACACCATTCATGCCCCCCATCCCCCCAGGTGACCGCGTGTATTCTGCCATACATGTTAAGTTCTATCCAGTCAAGCATTTATAACCAGATGTCCTTTAGTGCTTCAATGTAAATTCGTCCACTGGAGTCTAGTCAGCCCATCTAGTGGGCTGACACTCCCTCACCCAGTAGCAGTCAGTCTCCAATAGTTCTCAGTCTAGTGCCTCCCACCACCCCTTTCTCTCCTCCCCTCTGGGCCCTTCTTTAATTGATTTGGCAAGGGTCCTGGGCTTGATGCCACCATTGCCAGAAGTTCACATGTGCAAGCTCCCAGTGACCTGGCTCTTACAGTCTTTCTGCTCCCTCTTCCTTGATGATCCATAGGTGAGGTTCAATGTAGAAGTCCTATCCAAGGATATACACTCTGCAATCTCTATGTCTCTTTTATTACTTTTACTTCATGTGTATGAGTGTATTGCCTGCATGTGTGTAAGTGCACCCCTGTTGTACAGTGCCCATGGAGGTCAGAAGAGGTTTCAGATTCCCCTGGAACTGGAGTTACGGACAGTTAGCCACCATGTGGGTGCTGCTCTTAACCACTGAGCCATTTCTCCAGTCCCCAGTCTCTTATTCTTTAAAACTTGGCCAGTTATGGCCTTCTCTGTGCATCACACTCTGTTGTATAAGGAAGCTTTCCTCGTAAGAGCTGACAGCTGCATTAGTTTTCTCTCTACCCCTTGTTCTGCTGTGTTCTGTGAGCCTTAGCTATAGAGGTTCCACTACTTGAACATCCCTCAGACATCATATTCTCTGTGTCTGACCAGTTGTGCAATTCTGCAGTAACCTCCATCTGTTGCAAAAAGAAGCTTGTTTGATGAGTACTAGTACGGTGTGTTTGTCTGTAAATACAAGGATCGATATTTAGCATATAGTAAGAAATTTCAGAGATAGGGTTTTCTCTAGGTTCTATGTCCTCTCCTGCCTTGTGTACTTGGTTGAGTTTACAGTACCACCCATGCGTTCTCTCCCACTGAGAGGGCTTTAAGTCCAATTAAATAGCTGTTGATCACCCCCGAGATAACAGTGCCACTACTGCACCAGTAGAAGTAGTTTGTCGTGCCAGTTGTTATGGTTATTAGGCTTTAGGGCTGGGTTGGACCATTGGTTGTTTTTCTCCCATGACAGTTTGCATATCATCATCTAGCAGTATGATAGCTAAACTTTGGTTTGAAGGCTTCCAGGTCAGTTCCTACTCCATTGCTTCAAGTCCTGTATCCTGTGTTCAGCAGTAGGGTCTTATCTACTAGTTCTGGGAGATAACCAAGAGGTTTATCAATAGCCCATGTTATTTTGGAATTCTCCTTGACCCTCAACAACCACTTAAAGGGAGGTCTCTTCTGTCTGGCACTGTGTTCCTTCCCAAGCAGCTCCCAGGTATACATATGCATGAATGTTCAGACACTGTATGTGAGTTTCTAATGGGGTTTCCAGGGTACCACATTTCCCTCTGGGTTTCCTAGCCCCCCCCCCACCCCCGGATTCATTCATATCTACTCTTTTTCCTCCCTCCCCAGTCCCAGCACCCCCATTGCCCCCACCCTCCCCTCAATAACACCCACCCTTTATTGGCATCTCTCCTCCACCTCACCATGGCCCCTTGCATGTCCCTCCCTTATATATTTGTTTCATAATAGATGTAAATTTTTTATCATTTGTTGTTTTAGTAATATAGTTACAGAATGTTATTTCTATTTTTGGTTGGCTACAGTTATTCTAATTAATTTTAAATGACATAAAAGAACTTTTGGGTTATTTAGTAGCATGAACTTTTGGGAGTAATAGCCTGACTGGCCAGGAACTTGCTGTGTAAACAAGATTGGCCTCAAGTGCTTCCCAAGTGCTTGGATTAAAGGCATATACCACCACACCCAGCTGAAATGAACTTTTAAACATAATGGTTTTGATTTAGTTGGCTATTTTGTTGTACTACTAGTATAAGTTTTGTGGGGGTTTTGTAGGGTTTTTTTTTTTTCCCCTCATTTGTATAAATTTTGAAAACCAGAGTTATCTCAAAAGTAATTTCTGGGGTTGGCAAGATGACACAGGTGTTAAAAGCACTCTTACAGAGGATTGGAGTTTAGATCCCAGAACCCACATCAGCTTAAGGAGATCCCAGCCTCCTTCTGGCATCCATAGATGGGGACATATACACATACACACACACACACACACACACACACACACACACAATAATAAATAAATAAATAAATAAATAAATAATAAAAATAAAAACAAGTGATTTCAACTTGGACAACAAGCACTTGAAATCATAATCTATTCTAGCTATACTATTAATGGAAAGAAAATAGTCTGAGCTGTCATACACAAATGATGGCAGTCATTGCCAGGCATGATAGTAGAAACCTATAATCCCATCACCAGAGAGGCTGAGGCAGGAGGATTATGAGTTTTAGAACAGCCTCGGTTTCATAGCAAGGCCATATCTTAAAAACAAAAAGTAGAAGTAGATATTAAGGTTTCACTATCAGGAACATTGGGTTACTTGTGTACAGATACTTGTTCTGTGGTATAGGCTGGATAGAGTGGGTCTGAATTGAAGTATTTCGAATTCTGTCATTCAGTGAACTACGTAGTTGAGTGTAGTTTCACACCTATCTTCTTAAATACTCATAATCTATGCCTATTTTCTCTAGTTTTCATTTAAAACCGGACGTGGTGGCGCAGGCCTTTAGTCCCAGCACTCAGGAGGCAGAGGCAGAGGCAGGCGGATCTACATAGCGAGTTCCAGGCCAGCTGGGGCTACAGGGAGACCCTGTCTCAAAAAGACCAAGGGGGAAAAAAAAGATTTCATTAATAAGTGCTAAAAAATTATTGTCTGTATAATATTTTTCGTAAGGCAGTGTTTTTACTTCAGCTAATTTTGTATGTCTTTTGGGGAAGAGTTACTGATGAATGTGATCGTGTGATATATTACTTTAACCATAAGTAAACTTTGGGGTTGGGGAACCTTATTTTTCAGGTTGAAGCCCTCAATAAATTAAAAACTTTAAACAGCTTAATCAAATTAAATGCCATGAAGTTAAACAGAGCCAAAGGAAAGGAGGCCATGCATACCTGTTTAAAGCAGAATGCTTACCGGGAAGCCCTCTCTGACCTACAGTCACCTCTGAATCCATGTGTCATCCTCTCAGAGCTCTAGTAAGTGACTGTCTCTGCTTTGCACAGCGAATCTCCTGTGAAAATAGCAATGCAGAAAAGATTTCTGAGTTACTGTGTTGGTGAAGCAGTGGGGCTAGCTATTAGCCCTAGCAAGTTGAATGTAGTTAAGGGAAAGAAATCATAAAAGTCTTCAGAGACTGTGTTTATATTGTGTACCTATTAGTTAAAAGTATCTATGGGATTAGTAAAGGTTGTTACAAGTTAAGTTCCTTTTAATATATGTTTATTCATTTAGTTAGGTGAGGGGTTTTGTTTGTTTTTGTTGATGGCAGTGGTTTGGGTGTTTTTTTTATATTTATGTATTATCTATATTCTGTGTGTGAGTGTATTACCTGCATGAATGTCGTGCAGTGCCCGCAGAGGTCAGAAGAAGGTGTTGGATCCCCTGGAACTGGAGTTAGGAACAGTTGTTAGCTGCCACGTGGGTGCTGGGAATCGAACCTGGGTCCTCTACAAGAGCAGTCAGTGCTCTTAACTGCTGAGCCATCTCTCCAGCCCTATGTTTTTGTTTTTGTTTTTGTTTTGTTTTGTTTTGTTTTGTTTTGAGGCAGGGTTTCTCTGTAGCTTCAGCTGATTTGGAACTTACTATGTAGACTAGGCTGGCCTTGATCTCACAGAGATTCCCCTGCCTCTGCCTCCCAAATGCTGGGATTAAAGGCATGCGACACCACACCTGGCCCTAGGTAGTTGTGATACAGATTTTCATGTAGTCCAGTCTGTGTTTGAATGCATGATCCTTCTGCCTGCTGAGTGCTGGTATTACTGCCTGAGCCACCATACCTGGCTATGATACTGATTTCTACAAATTGTAAATCCTGTATTAGCAAATTTTTGGAAACCATGGCACATTATTTACTGACTTTCTATTTTAAAATATAATCTAAAATGAATTTGGAAACCTATTTCATACATTTTAATTCATACAGAGGTGGAAACAATGAAAGTATTCAGATTCCTCTTTAAGGGAAAGTGTTGATCCCTCTTTAAGAAATAAAGAATTGGAGCTGGAGAGATGGCTCAGTAGTTAAGAATGCCTGCATAGAACCAGTTGGGTCCTAGAATTCATGGCAAGTTGCTCACAACAGCCTCTAACTACAGTTCTGGGGGATTTGAAGGCACCTGTATACACGTGCACATCCACATCCACAGAGATAACACTCACATACACAAACACATGAAGAAAAAAATTTATGAAAAAACATTGTCATTGTGTAGTCCTAATTTTAATATAGTAGTACACTGTACTTTTTATTCAGTAAATAAAATGCGTTAAGGAGGTATAAGAAAACAAGGAGAAATTTTAAGTGCAGGCAATGGAGAAGTCACATCCTAGATTTGAGTCCAGTCCATCTTGTTCCTCTTCTCCCCAGAGGAGGTTCTATGGTTCTCATTTGTATAGAAATAGGTATGGAGGGGGGGGGTAGGGTTTTCAAGCCTGATATGTCACGGGAGCGTTTATAATCATGCTGTGTTGTTACATTAACATGAGCCGATTTTCCCATTGGCTGATTTCAGTGTTGAAAAGTGCAAATACATGGATTCCAAAATGAAGCCTTTGTGGCTGGTCTACAACAACAAAGTATTTGGTGAGGATTCAGTTGGAGTGATTTTTAAAAATGGTGATGGTGAGTACTGGGATTTTTACATCTCTTGGAAAGGCATAGTAAATGTGTAGCAATTAGCAATCAAGGAGCAGCTATCTGTGTCAAACACATATCCTAAAGGCCTTTCTGTAAAGTAACTTCTGGTTCATTTATTGTTCTGATAAGCCTTCCTGTTTTCCCATACAAAATACAAGGATTCAGTGTTTATTTGTTGATAAAATGTTTGTGAATGACAAGGAGATCTCAGTGTGCGTTCACACATCCTACCCAGTGATAGCAAAGCTGATTATCACCTTATAGTGTGTTTTAATTCAGTTAAGTGATGATGCAAACTTTATAAAGGAATTGCCTCTGAGGTAATTACACCAACCAACAGGCAGGCATGGCTTGCTGGCTATCTGACTAACTGTAAGCAAGTCCACACTAATTGGGCTTTAGGATCTTCATTTCTATGAAGGTCATGGCATCTGTTTACCAGTCATTAAAGGAATTGAGTTGAGTAACTGTGTTTATCTTTGTATATGCTTACAACTTCTCTTTTTTTCTGATCCTTTTGAAACAAGGTCTCCCTATAGCCCCAACTGACCTGGAACTCTGTGTAGACCAGGTTGGCTCTGAGATCCACCTGCTTTTGCCTCCCAGGTTGCTGGGAGTAAAGGTGTGGGCCACCATGTCCAGCTGCTTACAACTTCTTACTATAACTTCTTTGTAGTGGTTTGAGACTGTATCTTACTCTAGTATAGGTTGGCCTAAAACTAGTGATCTGGCCTCAGCCTCCTCAGTGTTGAGATTATAAGAATGTGCCAGCATGCCCTGCTCTCATGGTGTTTGCTAGACTTTTTTTTTTTTGGTCATTTTGAGCCAGGGTCTTCCTGTAGCCCCAGCTGTCCTGGAACTCAACTATATAGATAAGGCTGGCCTTGAACTCACAGAGATCTGCCTAAAGGTATGCGCCACCACGCCCAGTCTAAATGTTATTATGTATTTTTGACACCAGATTTCACTGTATAGCCAAGCTGGCATCAAGCTTGCAGACTCCTTTAGTCTCTTAGTGTGGGCCCTGAAAGTACTCTTGGACACAATGATAAGTAAGCTTAGCTGTTATTCTAAGAACTTCCTCTACAGCCATAAAAGTAGGCAAGAAGGAAAGCAGTACAATTATTATAATGTGGTCCAGTTTTGTAGTTCCTGCTAGTTAATACAGTAGCTTATGTGGTAAACAGTTGAAAGGTCTTTTAAACTTAATTTCTAAAGTGCTATAGGGACACTGCTAGTTTTTAGAAAAAAGCACAGTGTTTTATTAATGGGCTTATTAGTTAAATCTAAACACCTAATGTTGAATTAATGAGTAACAAGGTATAAAATGGAAAGCACATATGATTTAGCAGCTGTCTTCCCCTTAGATCTACGACAGGACATGTTGACACTCCAGATGCTACGCTTGATGGATTTACTCTGGAAAGAAGCTGGTTTGGATCTTCGGTGAGATTTCTGTGAATTTCCTTTTTATTTCATGGTATTTTTCTCTGTAGCAAAATTCCTAAAATTCCTTGATTCCTTCCATTCTGCTAGTCTGTCTGCCTACCTGCTTGCCTGGCTGTGCATCTCTGCCTATCTCTATCTCTTTCTTAAGCTTTAGAACAGTTTTATTAGAATTTAAGAAAAGTCCTCAGGGCTGCCCTTTAGAGGAGAATGGAGGGAGAATGAAAAACCCATAAAACCCAAAACATCTGGGCAGCCCACAGCGCTAGAGAAAGCACGGTTACAGAAGAGACAGGAAAAAGGAAAGAGGTTCCTTTATTTTTTCTGAAGAATTCAGAACTATGGGTAGACTCTCAGAGCTGCATGTCTGCGCACAGTCCACGAACACTGCCCCTGCTGTTCTTTTTGTTGTCATTCATAATAATGTCACTTGTAACTTTGTAGTGTACCTTCAGATCCTTGTCCTATTTAAATCTCATCAGATTTAAAACTGTTGTATGCTTGAGATTCCAGAAAGAAGAGATAGGTTTGGACTTTAGTAAGGTTTGACATCAAGAATCATATTCCACTGGGTGTGGCAGCTTTAATCCTAGCAGTGGGTAGGCAGAGGCATGGAGAGCTCTGTGAGATCCAGGCCAGCGTAGTCTACATAGTGATTTCTGGGCTAGCAGGGGCTAAAGGGCATTTCAATTTTGATGACTGTTATGGTTTTTTGTTTGTTTGTTTGGTTTTGGTTTTGCTATGTCCACCAAACTAGCCTTCAACTCACATCGTACACCTGCCTC